ATAACTAAAAAAAGATATATTGTTCATGTGATACACCATGCGCGAATTTGTGATACACATGCGCGCACATCACACGTGAGATGCACTAGCTATGAAACTCGATTTACAAAAAAAAGTATATATTAGGGTAGAATTTAGGGTTTCCCTGAGAGGAAAACAAGGGGAGTAGGATTAATAGTGCAGTTGTAGAATGCATCGTAAAGTGGTGCTCGAACAACGGTGTGATTTGAACTTTATTTTATTTCATGAGCAGGTGAGAAATTTGTTGAACCAGAGCCTATCCCGACAATTTCATAAATATAAAAATATATATATCAAAATCCGTGACATACATGCACACACATCACACCTGACATGCACTAGAAACTCGATTATTTAGAGAAAGAAAAAATCGTACTTTGGTTTTGGATTTAAGCCCTCTACTCTACGCCTTCGGTTATTTCAATTAGTACTATTAGGTATGATAAAAAGAAGGAAACTAAGAAACTTGAAGTAGTACTTACAGGAGAGTAGATGCTGAGTCCTCTTTCTTTCGAATACTCAACATACACCATTAAGGCCGCTTCCGTGTAGTACTTTTGCCCCGTTACATTCGTGTAGTACTTCATAAACCACACACTACAAGTAAATCAGTTCAATTTTGCAATTTCCAAATCATACATTTTATATATACTTTTGTGGAATCAAATGATAATGTCGAAATGAGTTAAAGATCATGCGAAAAACAGTTTGAAATGGCAAAACAAAGGAACAATCCCTACGAAATACTGAAAATATAAAATATGCGGTACTATACATGCACGCACGTTTCACGTTCGATGCACTAGCTAAGAAACTCTGGTTAAAAAAAATTGAAAACTAAGTTTCTCAAAGCAGCTTCTACCTGCTAGTGCATTGTATGTGTATTTTCTAGGTGCAGTGTGTGTGCACTACATGTGCGTGTGTAGTGCGTGTGCACTACATGTGTTTGGGTAGTGTGTGGGCACTACATGTGCGTGTGTAGCGTGTGTGCATTGTGTGTGCATGTATTTTTGGTCTTACAACACAAACAACGATTTTTAGCGGTTTATTATTTTCATGGTTGGGACAACTTGCTCAATTTTGTAGAGATTGAAGGAATATGAAGATGCAGAAGTTTCTGAAAATGTTAAAATGTGAAGTCAACCTTCTAGAAAATCACCGTTAAAAAATGTCTAATAGAATATGTTCAAATATTGTTCTTTTCCCAATTTAAACAAGAGCTTAAGTTGTATGTTCAAAAAATACAAATGTATACCAAACAAACCCCACATGTTGTACCACCAGAAACGATTATCGTAAGGAAGAAAAAAGTTCACTTTTCATTAAAACCAACTAACAATGTCTATAAATATAATTAACTAATTTCTAACGAGCACTAGATGAACTTGGAAATTTTTGAACCAAGATCCTTTGACTTTTGAATATTTCATATATTCACATAGATAAGCACAAACTAACTTGAAGAAAATTGAAAGCCTTGTTCATCCCAGCCTTCTGGAGCTTCGGCTTTCGGTGTCTCCTGCAGTTGTTGCATGTTTATTCAAATTAACATTAAACAAATTCGATAAGAAGAAAATAATTTTCAGACGAAATAGAAGAAGACATACCCCGAGATGAAATTTGTAATAAAACAGTCGCCCACTGTACCACCTTTTCTTTGTCGGTCGAAAGGTCCAGCAGAGCGCTCGCGCATTCTAAATCATCGCGGTTCTCTCTTTCCCTTTCTTTCTTGGATTTTGCTCGATCCTGACAAACATGCAGCCACCTCAATAATTTCATGAAATATAAAATCATATATTAAATCTGTGATGCGCTCACATCACACGTAACATGCACTAGCTGAGAAACTCAATTTATTAGGGGAAAAAAAAGTACTTTGGTTTTGGAATTAAGTCCTCCACGCCGATGGTAATATCTCGCACTTCGTGCATCAAAATTCTGTAGAAGAAACCCAGGAAAGTTAATCAATGGATGTCATGTAGAACAATTAGGTAAAGTAAATTAAGAAACTTTTAAGTAATACTTACAGGGGCGTAGATGCTGAATCCTCTTTCTTTTGAATACTCAACATACGACATTAAGTCCGCTTCCGTGTAGTACTTTTGCCCCGTTACATTCGTGTAGTACTTCATAAACCACATACCAAAAGTAAATCAGTCCATCATATGTGAAAATGAGTTAAAGGACATGTAAAATACAGTGAGGATGGCCAAGCAAAGGAAAAATCATACGAAATACTGAAAGAAAGAAAATCATCTTCATATCAATCTATAGGCCAAGTTTCCTTAAGGAATAGGTAATATTTAAGACCATATATTCATGAGTTTTGCAAGATCAAAGTGGACAGGATTTCGTGAGAGAAATGTAAATTAACCATGAAACGGTAGAAATAAGAGGAAAGATAAAATAAAAAAGAAGGATATTAATTATGAACGTTTCATCTGTCCACTATTTGCCTAATATCACCACAAATCTAACACAAAACAAGTGCTCAAAATGCGCTAACTATTGTACATAATTTTCTTGATATATATAGCAGCTGTTTCCTTTAGAAATCGTACTACAAGTTACATGCAATTCACTAATATATTCCAATCCTTCGGGTACTTCAAAGCCCGCCGGAGGGACAGCAGCAGTAAAACGAGAAGCCATTGGTGACGGCAGGGTGGCGACTGGCGGTGGTGGACGAAAACGAGGGTTTCTCTTTCTGATTTAAGGTAGAAATTAGGGTTTTCGTGATATGAAAATAACGGGAGGTTAGGGATTAATAATGTAGCTGTAGAATGCATCGTGCCGGCAGGGATGAATGCAAAGTGGTGCTCAAACAATGGTGTGATGAAGATCCTTGGTAATTTCGAAAGAAGAAGAAGACAGATTGAAAAAGCAAGAGATTTTAAAGCGAGAAATTAAATTCTCCAACAACCGCCACCATTGGGTGCCAAATGCCGATGACGCGGAGGAAGACAAGGATTTCGTAAGAGAAATGTAAATTAACAATGAAACGGTAGAAATAAGAGGAAAGATAAAATAAAAAAAGAAGGATATTAATTATGTTACATTTCATCTGTCCACTATTTGCCTAATATCACCACAAATTTAACACAAAACAAGTGCTCAAAATGCGCTAACTATTTTACATAATTTTCTTGATATATATAGCAGCTGTTCCTTAGAAATCGTACTAGAATTTACAAGCAATTCACATACGAGAATGTCCAACTCCCACAGCAAAATTTTCCGGTACACTAACAGCACCAGCCACCAAGAATGGCTAATGTTTACCCAAGAATTCTAAAATATAAATTTACAGAGTAATTTATAACATGCTGGAAATGAAGTCAACATAAATGAAAAAACAAAAAAAATAAAATAAAAGATATGCTAATGCGACAACGTGAGCAACGTATCTAAGAAGTTTAATAAATTCAACTACGAAAACCCTTTTCTATATTAAGACATATCATTATTGAATGGATGCATCAAAATGAACATATATATTAAGTAAAACAAAATAACAGATCATACTAATGAACCCTCTCTAAACTCAGACCACCATTATGAAACGATGATGCATACGTGCACCACGTGTATGAAACTTCGGCATAAAAAACATTAGATTGTTCTCTGTTTAATATGATATTTATTGCACATGGTAGTAATATGTCAAACAACACAACACGACAAATCGGGGCAGCCAAAATAAGGTCGCTCCGTATAGTTTTAACAACAAACATTCCTTTTTCTCTTTTTTGTCGCATATACCGACATTCGCTCGCCTTATGATCATGAACCAGCTAATAAGAAGAGAAACGGAATTCTTCACTTTTACACACAGATTTTGTTACTCATCAATCAATCCATGATAGATCTAACTTCTAGAAGCATCAGGTGCATCAAGATACATTAGCTATATCCCGAATCTAACTCGATTCCCTATCTGAAAAGAAAGTACATCCAACAACAAACCACAACACAAAATCAATTGCACTTGATCCGGGCAAATCCAACAATCACCACAAACAATTCAAAAATCGAGAAATCAAACAAGTTTCATATCAGCAAAAAGAACCCACAAGTAAAATTATGCACAAAATCAACTAATAACACAATGCAAGTCCATCAAACATCAAAACAAATCAATGGCAGTAGAAAATAGAAATCTACAAAGAACAACCATACCTGAACACGGGTTCCGTTTTTCTTCAGCTCACTTATATATTCCCATCCTTCGGGCACTTCAAATCCCTCCGGAGGTACAGCAACAGTATAACGAGAAGCCATTGGCGGCAGAGGCGACGGCGGGGGTGGCGCGATGGCGGTGGTGGCGACTGGCGACGGTGGACGAAATCGAGGGTTTTCTCTCTTTCTGATTTAAGGTATAGATTAGGGTTTCGGGATATAAAAATAGCCGGAGGTTAGGGGTTAATAATGCAGCTGTAAAATCCATCGTGCCTGCTTGGATTTATGCAATGTGGAGCTCAAACAACGGTGTGATGATAATCCTTGGTGATTTCGAAATACGAAGAAGAAGACAGATTGAAAAAGCAACTGCTTTTAAGGATAGAAATTAAATTCTCCAACAACCGCCACCATCGGGTGCCAAATGCCGATGAAGCGGAGGAAGAAGACAAGGATTTGAGCGGAGAATTCATTTTTCTGACGAAGCAATTGCGCGATACAAGCGCTGGATTCTGGATTCGAACTCTGAAATTTTATATGCAGCTCTGAACCAATTTATATTTAATGGGCCAAATTAAATCCAAATGAACAGCCCAATAATTTATATATAAGCCCTAGTTTTTACAAATAGGCTTCTTTTTGTTTTTCTTATTTCCAGCCCAATCATAAAACTATAACAAATTTTATTTTTTCAATTTATTAAAAGGAAAAATTACAGTTTTCAGTCCTCAAATTTTCACTGATTTCATATTTGGTCCCCGTGTTAAAAAAAACACGTATTTCAGTAATTAAGCATTTTAGGTCATTTCCGTCAATTTACCGTTAGTTAAGACAGTGATGGTAACACAATCAATTCAGTTAGTACTAACGAAAAATTGACGAAAATAATTAAAAATGTTGAATTTTATTATAGTGTACAAAACTTTCAATTTAAAATTTTATAAAATCAATTTAAAGTGCCATAGCAAATCTAATACGGACCCAACGACTTGACCGAGTCTCGGGTCCTATTTTTTTCTAACAAGGAATCTCGATTTTTCTCCGAATCCAAGAAAGAAATGCCAACGTTGTATCACTCACTCAGAAAATATATATTTATCAAGATAAAAATAAATAAATAAATAACAGGAATCTGCAATGGTTTTTAACAATATCCAGTTTTTTCAAGATGAAATTTTAGCCCCAACTTTTTAAATAACTTTTTAGACTTTTCTATATTAATAAGACAGAATAGTACAGCTTTAGTTCCCTTCATAGAAAACTTTTATGAACAAATAGATGCCCAATAAGCCAATTAGGACAAATAAAAGATTAGTTTTTTTCCCATAGGTTTGGGTGGTCATTGTTTCCCCAGCAGATTTTTATGTGTTTCCTTGAAATACAACGAGTGATTTTGAAGTATTGATCTGCATATATTAGTAACATACATGTTTATGTGTATGTGTATTTAGTGAATAGTTGTAGTTATTTATATAGATTTACGATTCAAAATCATATAATGTGTTACACCAAATATAGCATCTCATAGACCGTTGCGTAAAATACACTTATTTTCTACCACGTGGCTGAAGCAAATGATCAAAAGTTAGAAATTGAGTTGACTTATTTAGAGAGACCGTGGTCAACGGGGAAGTTTCTAATTTTTTTAATTGTATATTTTGCTTCAATAAAGTTAAAAATCTCAATGAATGACTATAAACATAATTATAAGTGGATCACTTTGGACGGTTTGCCAAAAATTGTGGTGCTTCTAAAATTGAATAAAAGATAACCACTACACCAATCAAAAGCATCCACCGTCTAATGTGGACGAAATAATTGCTAACATAAAAATATATTTATATATATATTTTAAAAAATGAAATAAAATAGAGATACATCTATGAAAATCATGATCACGGACCAAATTAAAACCTACGACCTAAATCTTACATAGTAATTATGTTGTTCTGGATTTCTTGATGTTGAATTGATTATGGTCGGCTAAGAGATTCAATTTATATTTCTAAAAATGCTGTCTATTAAATTTGATTCTGTCACATACACTAAAATAGATCGAAATTGACAAGTTACGAACACTTGTAAATCCCTAATTTGTATTTCCTTTTAGCTACAACTAATTATTATAAAAATAAAATTCAAATAACAAGGGAAAAGCGCAACTACTAGTTGTTAGTGTTTTACCATGTATTAATCACTGAGCATATTTATGTATATATATTTGGCAAAATTATAGTTTTTACCCCTCAAGTTTGCACCGATTTTATATTTAGTCCCCTATGTTCACAAAAAACACATTTGATCCCTCATATTTCAATAATATAACGCTTTTGGTTATTTCCGTCAATTTACTGGTAGTCATTCAGTTATGTCATTTATGGGCATACGCTTGATTCCGTTAGTTTTAATGGATAATGACTAAAAATTTTGATTTTTTGAAACATAAGGGGCCAAATGTATTTTTTGTAAACATAAGGGACCAAATGTGAAATTCATGCTAACGTGAGGGGCGAAAACTGTAATTCTATATATATATATTTATCAATCAGTGTGCACTGTGCAGTACCAGTTATTTATTTAGCTAATTCAAAGTGTCACTTTTTTTTATTTGTTTGTTACAGTTTAATTTCACCAGCTCTCCGGCCCCTTATATATATAACCTTCTTCCACAACCCATTTTTCTCAACCTAAAACACACACACACACACACAGTTACACACACTAATTAGTGAGAAAATGGGTACACATGATTTCAACAAAAGCTCCATCTACTCAGAAGAAACCAAAGAATCACTCGAAAACGGCGGTGCAAGCAAGACTTTCGACGACGACGGCCGTCTCAAAAGAACCGGTACATAAATCATAATACACACATAATATATGTATGTATACATTTGTTATTAAAAAAGAAATAATCGTCAATTAATTAATAATAATTAATGAAATGAAAAAGGGACGCTTGTGACGGCGAGTGCGCACATAATAACGGCGGTGATAGGGTCGGGAGTGCTGTCGCTAGCGTGGGCCATAGCGCAGCTGGGTTGGGTGGCCGGCCCCGCCGTACTGGCCGCGTTTTCATTCATCACGTACTTCACCTCCACCCTTCTCGCCGACTCTTACCGCTCCCCCGGCCCCCTCCACGGCACCCGAAACTATACTTACATGGATGTAGTTCGTTCTCACTTAGGTACTTACGTACCTATATATATATATAACATTCCTAATTAAATTATATATAATTTATTAATTAATGTTAGTAAATTAAAGAAGAAAAAAATATTAATAATTAAATTTATAGGAGGCTACAAAGTTCAGCTATGCGGAATTGCACAGTACGGCAATCTTGTTGGTGTTACAATTGGATACACAATAACCGCCTCTATCAGCATGGTGTAAGTATATATATACATTAAGTAATTAATGGCTAATTAATTAATTAGTTAATTAATGGTTGGATTAATATATAACTAGGGCTGTGAAGAGGTCGAATTGTTTCCACATCCACGGGCACGAAGACAAGTGTTCGATATCGAATATTCCGTTTATGATAATATTCGCAGCAATTCAAATAATTTTGAGCCAAATACCGAACTTCCATAAGCTTTCATGGCTCTCCATTGTGGCTGCAGTTATGTCTTTTGCTTATTCCTCAATTGGCCTTGGTCTATCTATAGCCAAGGTTGCAGGTAAATAATTAAGAAGAAAAAAAAAACCCATTAATTATTAATTTTTTTTTATAATTAAAAATTCGAAAAGTCGATTATTAATAGGTGGTGGGCATGCGAGGACAAGCCTAACGGGAACGACGGTAGGTGTCGATGTATCGGGTTCGGATAAGGTGTGGAGAAGCTTTCAATCAATTGGAGATATTGCATTTGCTTATGCTTACTCAACTGTGCTTATTGAAATTCAGGTAATTAAGTAACTAATTACAATATTTATTAATTAATTCATTACATATTTATTTGCTATTTTGTAATATCTCAATAAATAAATAAAATTCAGAAGCTATTAATTAGTGCATGTGCATTTAATTTGCCGTATAGGCATATGTAATTGATACATGCCACATGCTAATGTAGATGTATTTAAATGAGTCCAAAACATTAGGCCCCAGAGATAAGATGCTTTGTGAAAAAAATTAAAAACATATATATTATTTATTTATTGTGAAATAAATATATAGCAGTACATATAAGAGATGTTAATTTATATATAAGTTTGTGTAAATTATAATTTGCAAATGAATAATAAACAGGACACGTTGAAGTCGAATCCGTCGGAAAGTAAGGTGATGAAGAAGGCATCGTTAGTTGGAGTTTCAACGACGACGGTATTCTATGTACTATGCGGTTGCGTTGGATACGCCGCGTTTGGAAACGACGCGCCGGGAAATTTCCTAACCGGTTTCGGTTTTTACGAGCCCTTTTGGTTGATTGACTTTGCCAATATCTGCATTGCGGTCCACTTAGTTGGCGCTTACCAGGTGTTTGCGCAGCCGATATTCGGTTTCGTGGAGAAACGGTGCACCGAGAAATGGCCAGGAAGCCGTTTCATCACAGGCGAGCACTCGATCAACCTTCCACTAATCGACAAACCTGCTTTCACAATCAATTTCTTCCGGCTCGCATGGAGAACTGCGTACGTGATTCTGACATCGCTAATAGCGATGATATTCCCGTTTTTCAACGGGTTTTTGGGATTAATCGGAGCGGCATCTTTCTACCCTTTGACGGTGTACTTCCCGATAGAAATGCACATAGCGCAGGCGAAAATACGAAAGTATTCATTCACATGGACTTGGCTCAAAATACTCAGCTGGGCTTGTCTCGTCGTATCGTTGATCGCGGCTGCCGGTTCCATACAAGGCCTGGCTTATGATGTCAAGAAATACAAGCCCTTCAAAACTTAGTATTTGTTTCAATTATATTATTTTTTCTAATTAATGTGTGCTCTCTCTCTCTCTTTTTTTTTTTTTTTTTTTTTAATTATGTTTACAGTAATTCAGGAATATATTATATATGCAGTAAGAATCTCTATGTGGTTTTTAATAATATATACATGATCAGTTTGCACTTATTTTATGCATGGCCGTGGACAGAACATTATATTTCGGCCCGTTAACCCGATCTCCATTTGAGACGGCCCAAAAGCACAAATTCTTTGATTTTGACCGTCGACTCTCTCTTTCATCCGTGCCACTAATTCAAAGTATTTCAACTCCGCCTCTTTTCCAACCACTCAGATCAGACATTTTCCTCTTCCCGCCATCGTACGACCGCATGGAAATGTCTTCGACATCTTCTGACGACACGTTGTACTTTTTTCTTGGCACAATCTTACTTTTCCGTCTATACAGTAAACCATTTAGAGAGAGGGTGTAAGATACATACATATTCAAATCTCCTTCGAGTTCTAAGTGTGGGAAACAAGATAGTGAGTTACGTTCAACTTTGGTGCATTATTATTGTGGTAAGTGAATTGACCTAATATGAGTGATTCTGGTCTGAGAAAAAAGTTACGATGAAAAGTGCTTCGTGTACTAGGATGTTGGTGCCGCAATCGATCGATATTTAGACCGTGAATTGACCGATTACAGTCCATAAGACCTTATCCTATTTCCCATAAAATCAATAGTATACAATGTTTTCCATATATTGTATGCATCGCATGTGTTCAAATAAATTTGAAAAAAATGCTTAATAGATCATCATTATCAACAACAATTAGTCATATATATATATATAATCGGCAACCAAATACATCATATTTCTTTGTTCTTGTTTGTCACATTACATACATGTAAATAAACAAAATATATATATGTAATTATGTATACCCCCACCCCAATTTCATAACTCCATTATCACTTCTTCAAGATCTGCAATGGCAATATGGCATAATTCCATGACTACCCTTTTTCTCTTTTCACCTCTGACAATATGCTAAAAGACTTCTAACAAAAAAAAAACATCCTCTGAATAAAGATCCTATTTTTCCATTGGTTACATATAAATAGTCAAAAAAAAAAAAAAAAATACAGAGTAAAGAAAATGGGTTATCTCAAAGAGTCTTTTTTTTTCCTAATATAATATTTATTTTATAAAGAGATAAAATTTGTAAAAATTATGCCTGGCTCCACCCTGTCTGCCTTCAACCAGCAAAAAAGATAAAAATGGTTTCTTTTTTTTTTTCTTTTTTTCCTCTGCAGTGTGGTCTCCTCCTCCTCCTCGGTGAAAACCCCAAAATAACCTCGGCTATACAGAGCAAGAATCAGACAGTACCTCTTTCTTGTAAAGGGCAACATTGTCATTCCACAGCCAAACCCTCCTTCTTCTCCAAGTTTCAGTTGCAGAGAAAGCCATTGAGTTGAGACTTGAGCCACCGCCTGTATAAATGGCCTTCATTTTCCCTTAATTGCAGTACTGTAAAGATTTGGAATAGAGGGTTTGATTTGTTTCGAGGAGAGTGTGCGTGTGTGTGTGTGAGAGAGAAAGATATAGATATAGAGAGAGAAAGAGAGAAAGAGAAATATTATTTTTTTAATTGGGGGTAGGCCGGTGAAAGGGCTTTTTCAACTTTCTCTTTGTTCCTTTTCCTACTAATAATAAAAATATATCTCCATTTTGTCCCTCCTGTATATGTACGTACACTAATATGTATATATATATATATACATGTATATATATATGTGTATCAGTGTATGTATAATTTATTGTATTTGTATATATATACAAGCGTGTGTGTTGATTTTAAAAAACAGATAAGACCGAGTTAAATTTTCTTGAAGTGTGTTTAGCTGTGTTAAGATCAAGAGATTATTGGGACTTGTTAAAATACAATAATTATTAAATTAATTTAATTATTTTGCGGAAAAAAAAAATACATTATTATTATTATTATTTATTATTATTATTATTATTATTATTATTATTCTTATTATTAATATATTTGAATCCACAAACCAAGAATTTCAAATTCTAACATTAAAAAGTCAAAGACAAGTACCTAAGCCAGGGATAGTTTGACCAAATCTCATTAATTAATGTTGGACCTTTAATTTGTGCAAGTTTGTCCAAGCAAGTGTCGTCTTGTTAATTCAAACTATAAGAAAATAAATAAATTATAGCAATAAAAATATTATTATAGAAAATACGGTTTTAATAAAATAAATATATTCTCGAAATTGAGTGGACAGCTACTAATTTTAGTGCCAAGAGCAAAATATCAAATAATTGCATGAAATAAGTATTTGTTTATTAGTGAAACAATTAAAGAAGTTGTTACATGGTCTCTAAGAATCAAAATTAGGCAATTTAGAATTTAATTATTTTTTTTGCTAAAAAAAATAAAAAATTATATAGTAAATAAAGTAAATACAAAACACTAGGGAACCAAAGCAAGCGTTACATTGGAAATGAACAAAAAAAAAAAAATATTTATATTACAATAAAGAAAAGTTGCAATGTCAAGTGAACTCAGAATATATGACCAAAAAGAAACAAATGTCAAACAAAACAAAATCAGAAGCTATGCCCCCATAAAATAAAGCCATTAATAAAAAAATAATAAGACAATGCAAATTATTTTTTTCAATATAAGTTAAATACACGAATATTTATCTTTTGATTTATGATTTATTTTTTTGGAAAAAAAAAGAAATTGTTGGTTGGCAATATAAAAAGGGGGTTATTATGAAGTAATTATTGAATTGAAAATGAAATGTTGCTTATAAGTAATAATAGCTCCAGTGCAGATGGAATCACGGAAACCACACGTCACTTCTTTTGTAACACTGACCTTTCTTGATTTGACTACTTACCAATCCCATATACCCACGAGGGTGCGATTATACCCCCCACACTCCACCTTTTTCTTTATTTAAATACGATATATCTTATAATACTTCTAATACTTTTTGTTTTCTAAAATAATCTCAAAAATTATTTTTCTAATACTTTTATTTAACATATTTGTGGTTTCAATTTGTAATGTGATTACCTGTGGTTAAATTATAATTTGAAGAAAAAGGTCCTTTTAGTACTTTCACCTTTGAAGAATCAAAATTAATAATAATGCTCTTCTCTCATTCAAAAAAATAACTCTATTTGGAAATTTCCGACAAAAATACTAATTTGCAAGGTTGGCTGTACACATGTGAAATTATTGGGTGGATTTGGCCCATTAAACCCAACCAATGGGTGTACACTTGTGAAATTATTGTGTGTATTTGGCCCATTAAACCCAACCCATATATGAACACTTGTGATATTATTGGGTGTATTTGGCCCATTAAACCCAGACCATTTATGTACACTTGTGAAATTATTGGTTGGATTTGGCCCATTAAACCCAACCCATATATGTAGATTAGTCTATTATTTTATCGAAAATTATTTTTTATTTTTCAAATTATGCCCATAGTGAAGTGAAACATTAGTATTATGCAATATATGCGAGTTTAACCAAATTCATAATTTATATTCCTAGTCAGCTACTATATCAATTCTTGGTGCAGAACAATTCCTTTTGAATTATTAATTTATTCTATTTTCTGAGAAAATTCCATTGAATTATTGATGATTAATGGATTCTTTTACTTTTATTTTTATATGTGGACCCTCCACCACCATACCCCCAAAATAAAAGTTTGTCTGTGTGAATCTCATTCTTAGTGGGACCCACATTTGACAAAGTTAATATTTTTACTCACACGTGTATGTTTTCCTACATGTTTGATGCTTGTCTTTAATTTTTTTTATTAATATTCTTATTATGTTCTTTTATTATGCATTTGTTGGGTGGGTTATTTTTGGTTAATGGCACACTATCTGCGGTGAAACAAAGCTATCTTCTTTCTTCTTCTTGTTCATGTTATTACATTTTTAGTCAAGTATTATTATGAACTCCACTTTGAAAAGATTAAAGAAAAGCAAAATAGAATGAGATTAAAGGTAGAGGAATAAAACATTTTTACTTTCGCTTAAGGCAGATGCGCACAAATTAAGAATTCGATGAAATAGAAAAGCTCAAAATTACCCTTTACAAATATGAAGAAAGCTATTAAATGAAATTTTTCTCGCGACAAATGCTAATTATTCTCTCGTTTTCCTTTAATGATCGTCTTTTAGCTTTCCACAAGAATTAATACAGTGTTGAAAATTTAAAATAACTGATAGTATGAAATAAATGGTCCTTTCTTTTTCTCTAAAAAATGACAGATATTATGGAATAGAGGGAGTAATTATGAAGGGTAATATTTGTGCGATGAAACTATAAAACGACACTTAATATGAAAAAAAAGGCAAAAAAAAAGGGGAAAAACAAAGTAGGGTTTGTCCTCATCACAAAATGGAGATAAAGATGCTCTCATCAATAAGTTTTTTTTTTTTCTTTTTTCTTTTCACTTTTTCTTTGATATTCTTCTTCTTCTTTTTCAATGCATCTTGCAAAGAAAATAGGACCCTCAATAAAATCATACACAAATTGCAGAATCAGAAACCCCACTTCCATGCAATTAAAATTAATAAATAAATAAAAAGAAAATTAGGATTTGGATACCCTCTCGCCAAGTTAAAAGATAAAAACAAGCTATGTTTCAATCAATAAAGCTAAATAAAGACTTAATTATTTCCTTTTTGTGTCTCAATTATTTTATGCATACATTATTACATGTAGTCATGTAGAATATAAAGCACCTTTATATTTATATATACATATAGATCAAAATTCCCAAATATTTACAATATGCTTTAGCTCCTACTTTTATTAAGAAAAGACAAAAGACAATCAACTTGATCTACTAATTATACATAATTATAACTTAATTATTACTTAATCAAAACTGCCATCTTTGATCTTGATCATGGTCTCCCCTGCTTCCGATTTCGCCTTGTCCGAAAACTTGCAGCAGTCGAATTTACACGGGTCCGCCTCGATCAACAGCTGTGCCACCTCGTTCATAGTCGGCCGGAGATTCGGATTCTTGCACGTGCACCGCATGGCGATTCGAAGTACCTTAATCATATCATCCTTATAATTTCCCAACAATCTTTTATCCAAAACATCAATTGCTCCTTCTTTTGTTTCGACCTTACTCGAAACCCAATATATTATATTTTTATTCTCGCCGAACTCCGCCTCCACCGGTTTCTTCCCCGTCAGAAGCTCCATTAGCACCACCCCGAAACTGTACACGTCGCATCTCGTTGTCGCCTTTGACGAATACGCGTATTCTGTCAAAAGAAAACAAAAAATCAAGAACGTAATAATCATGTGACACAAATGTAACAAGATTTATCGCTTGTGTTATATCGAATTACCAAAAAAACATTTTGTGCTATTAATATTAGCAAAAAAAAAAAAACCTAAGTATGCATTTTTTAACAATTCAATCACAAGGGGATTTTTGTCAATAAAATAACATGTTAAGTTTTTTTAACAATTAGTGAAAACACAGGGGTGTTGAATGCAATAAACACGAAGATTTACCCGGTGCTAAATAGCCGTAAGTCCCCGCGATAACGGTGGTAGAAGAATCTTTGGACGACCCTCTTGCTTGAAGAACTTTCGCGATTCCGAAATCCGCAACTTTCGGCTGATAATCGATGTCCAATAAAATGTTCGTGGACTTGATATCTCTATGTATAATCGGCGGCATTAAATCATGATGCAAATAGACCAATCCCTGAGCGACACCTAGCGCGATTTGATGCCTGATCGGCCAATCGAGCACCATCTTTCCATGGTGGAGCGCGTCCCAAAGATTCCCATTCGGCATATACTCGTAGACGAGCAAATTGCAGTCGAGGCTCGAGAAGTAGCAATACAGCTTCACTATGTTCTTGTGCCTAATGCTCCCTAGAGTTTCGACCTCGGTTTTCAACCCTTTGTCAAGAATGACCTTCTCGCCCCCCAAAACCGACACTTCCTTCGAATTTCGACTGCTCCACAGCTTCTTAACCGCAACGACTTCTCCGTTGTTTAGCTCGATTTTGTACACGGTGCCAGACCCACCGTACCCCACTATGTTTTTCTCCACCAACGACTCGATTATCTCTCGTTGGTCGAAGCTTATGCGGTGGAAGCTCTTGACATCGTACGAGAAAAACGAGGATGATGTGGAATCCTCGTTTTCCGCAAATCCCCTGTTTTTATTGAACCATTTCTTCAAAAACAGGACACCTCCAACAAACAAGATTCCAACAGAAATCGCTACCAACCAAACACAGTTCAGTTTCTTCTTGTTGTACGTTTGAGGGCAAATTGGGAATTTCGGGCCCGACGAAGAATCTATATAGACCGGCACACAAAGGTTTTGGTTGTCTGAAAAACTCTCCAACAAACCACCTTTAATGAAAGGAAGAGGAATCGGACCCGAAAGTTGATTATTCGAAAAATTCAACGAATTAGGCAACAATTCGGTTAATCCAAACGGGATTTTCCCGGTCAAACGATTGGCCGATAAATCAAGAACGTTGAGGTTTTTAAGTGAGGACAGCGACTCGGGGATCGAAGAACTCAGCTTATTACCTTGTAGCAACAAAAGATTGAGCCATCTTAAATTCCCGATTTCGGAAGGAATCGGACCGGAGATTAGATTATTGCTAAGATCGATTTTCACTAAATTTATCGCAAGGGAGATTTCGAAAGGGATGACACCCGAAATCTTGTTGCCCTGCATGAACACCTCCGATAAATTCTTCGCGCTTCCGATCGACTTCGGGATCGAGCCGGTGAGGTTATTGTATCCGACATCGATAATCGACGCATGGGGAAGAGAGAATATACCTGCCGGTATGTTTCCCGCCAAATTATTGTTGCTGACTCGAAAACGGATAAGGGACTTACACTCGGCGTAGCTGCCGGGTATTTCGCCGGAGAAGGAATTCTGAAGGACAAGAAGGTAATTAAGCTTACCACCGCTACAGATCCCGTCGGGTAATTTGCCGGAGAGGTAATTCTCCGACAGGTCAAGCGCCACCATCGTTGACGATCTCCCGAGATCGTGTGGGACCTCCCCTGTAAGCATGTTGTCGTATAAGGATAGAGTGTTCAGCGTTTTTGAGTCGGAGATGCCACGTGGGATTTCTCCGGCGAGGCTGTTGTTGTAGAGCTGGAAGACTTCCAGCTTGGGAAGGCGGCAGATGGAGTCGGGGATTCCGCCGGTGAATTTGTTGACGGACATGTCGAGATCCCGGAGCTCCGTCAGGTTTCCGATCTCGTCGGGGATTGGGCCTTCAAGAAGGTTGTAGTAAAGCTCGAGCTGCTGAAGGTTTTTCAGCCGGCCCAGCTCTTTCGGGACCCGGCCCGATAAGTAGTTCCCGCTCAGCTCCAGATCGACGAGTGACGTCATCTCTCCGATGGAGGGCGGGATTTCGCCATGCAGCATGCACGTGGTCAGAACCATGGACTTCAGCTTCGTCAGCCTGGAAATATTCGCCGGAAGCTTCCACAGATCGAAGTCTCCGTTCTCGTTGAAGTTCAGCACCTCGAGATTCGTCAGGTTGACGATCGACATCGGAAACCCGCCGGAGAAGCGGTTGTACGAAAGATCGAGAACCCTCAGGGAGGATTTCAGGGGCGAGAAATCAGGGAGCTCGCCGGAGAAGTAGACGGAGCTCATGTTCAGTTCTTGCAAGGAAGAACAGTTGGTGATGCCACGTGGCAGATCCCCACTGAAGCTGTTGTGGCCCAGACGAAGGACACGTAAGCCGGGAAAGTAGGAGCAGATTTCGTCGGGGAATTTCCCGGTTAAAGACCAGCCGGAGATATCGAGCTCTACAACATTTCTCCGATCACCGCCATCACAGGCGATGCCGGAATAATTGCAGTAGTTGTTGTTACCTGTGTCGGAACCCCATCTAGAGAGAGAATTTCCCGACGACAAGTTCTTCATAAGATCAAAGAACTCATGAAACTGGCTCGGATAATTTGATTGGCAAAAAGTATTAGAAGCAGTTGCAAGCACAAAAGCAACGATAAAAACCAGGTTCTTGAAAAAAACCGCCATTGAAGGCAATAGTATATAAATTAAACCTGGAAATTCAAGAAAACACTTTTCAATATATGATGTTTGTATATATAGAAATTGAAGACAAGGAAAATTGTTTTGTTTTGTGTTTTTTTGGTGCAAAGTACAACCAAGATTATAAAGGGCTATATATATATATGTGTGTGTGTGTGTGGTTCTTTGGTGCACTAACTTTGTGAGAGAGTGAGATGAGAGAGAAGTGCATATACATATCTTTGCATAATTAAAGAGGCTTTAATTTTATACCCTCTCCCCCACTCATTCTTTTGAACAATAAGATCATGATTTTTTTTAGCAACTTTATATCTAATATATGTTTTTTTATTTGTTTATTTACGGAATACTAGTCTGATATTTCTATGGACTGATGTGAATTTTCTAAAATAACAATCGGATCAGCGAAAACTCTAAATACGAATGCGTGACGACGCTAGATCGAAGATTAAAGAGAGCTAATTATAATTTAGTTGTGATCACTCACACGCTGCCTTAAATCGCATCTCATTCCATTATCTGATTCCATCTTAAATATTATGCTCTTTTTTTTTATATTTTTTTTCTAGAACATATAATTATTATATTTATTAAAGAAATAATGGTTTGCTTTACAAGAGTCAATGCAGAATAATGATCCCAAATGTAAGAATTATTACGAAATGGCTCTTGAACTCCATCGTAGGTTTTTATGATAATTATTACTCCATCCGTTCCTAAATATGTGTCGTTTTTCACCTTGGCACAAATCTTAAGAATCTCAATAAATATGTCTTGATTTCAGGAAAATAGATATTGATGTACCAAAATATCCTTGTTTATTAATTAATGCAGGAAGAGTGATATATAATTAATAAGGGTAAAATTGAAAAATAAGCAATTAATGCAGCATTGGAATTGTAAAGTGACAGATAATATGGAACAAAAAAAATTCTCAAAAAAGACATATATGGCTTATACTATGCTACACCGGGTGAAATACACCGGGTAGATCTTTACCATTCATATACACACAAACACACACACACCCACATTGGTGTGTGTAGATCAACGGTAAAAAATCACCCGGTGTAACCTTCACCGGGTGTAGCATAGAAATAACCAGACATATATTATGGAAAAGAAGGAATAGTTAATTATATTTTCATGAACTAATCATTATAGCTATTATGTACCGAACCTATATAGTAGATAAATTGTATATAGACAATGGAAGCAGTGCAATTTACTGTTAGTTAATTATCTTTTCTTTCCCAAAAAACAAGATAAGTCAAAAGATTCCAGGTAAAAAGTGGTTTAATTAACTAATAACTACTAATTACTACTGAAATTCCATTAATTACCATATAGCATAGCCTAATTGGATTGCGAATCAAATTAGCCACTTTGATCAAGAGTCCTTGACACATACCTATTTAATTTTTAATTTTTGGATTTCTAATATTTTTTATTATATTGTACTTGATTAATACAAATATCTCGTTAAATTAATAGTGTCAATTGAATTTCAAATTAAATTCGATGGATACATTTTTTTACTGGGCTCAATTACCTAAATTCCACATCAGGCCCATATATTGTTCGAAAGGCCCAGTTTAGGCCTTTTATTGTAATTAGCTGCATTACATAATTTATTTCATCACAATAACACCACCTTACAAAACATATTTTAGTACAATTACAATCAAAACATACAGCCCTGATTTAAAAAATAATAATAATAATCATAAAAAATGATTATATACCATTTACCTCACTAGCTATATTCAATTTATTTCCTAAATCAGAGTTTAACAAAAAAACTATATACATATATACAATGCAATACCCTAGACCCCTTCCATTTACACACACAAACACACAAACACATCCATACGTGTGTAGCGAAAAAACGAACGGAGATCTTCACCGGAGAGCTTACGATACTGTAATATTAAAAGAAAATACAACATCGCGACTTCTGCTTGCAATTCCCGTGCGATTCGGATTCGGACCACTTAGAGCCACACCTGTAGCAAAATTCATACTTACACCTACAAGTAATATGCAAACACCCCTCAGCCTTCTCAACATACATCTTGCACTTGGGGCATTTCTGCCAGTTCCTCTTCTTCGCAAGCATCTTCACAATCTTATCCGATTTCCCGCCCTTTTTCGCGTACACCTTTTGAAACTCCTTACACGTAAAATCTGAATGCCAAGCAACCATACACTCCCCACAAAACCTCCTCTTACAGACGAGGCATTCAATCTCACCTAAAATCCCACCGAACTCATTCACGAACAAAGCCGAACAATCAAGAAACGGGCAGTAGAGCTTCTGAGAGTCCAGGATAAGGGACATGCAGTGGATCTCGTCCCACTGGACCAGGGCTTTTTGTGGGATAATTTGCCGACAGGAGTCGGAATTTAGGACGGCCTTACAGTTTATGGCAGGGCAGGGTATCTCATTGGCTTTGTCTTGGATCTTGGAAATAATGTGGCTGATTGTGCATTCGTAGCAGAAGGAGTGGGGGCACCTGTCGTTTTCGAACATCTGCCAGCTGGCTTTTTCCTCCAAGCAAATCTCGCAGAAGCTTCTAGAAGAAGTCTCGACGATAGGTTCTTCTTCTTCTAGAAGAAACGAGGGCGAAGGTAAAATAGAAGCTAGTACCGTTTCTTGTAAATGGATTTCCTCTGCGTCGTAGTTTGTAAGTTCGTCATCGGGTGGTGTCACTGTTTCGTGTGAGATCTGTCGAGATAATTCTGTCGAAAAATAAATTGAACATAAGAAATTAGAGCTGCACAAAAAATTGTCTTGAAATCACTATAAATTAAGAGAAAACCCTCAAATATTTTAACTAACTAGAATCGAATCTCGATCAAATCCGATCTAAACTATTACGCCAACGAGGATTTTCGAACTGAAAAAATCGAAAATAGAAAACCCTTTTCGGCAGCAGAAGCTATGGTGGATAAAATTCACTACACACATAGATACTCAAAATTTCATTGATCTGTATATACTAGGTTCCTGATCTTGATAAATCATAAACAGAGAATCAACAAAGGGCAATTCATGTACTAAAAAAATAAAAATTCATAACAACACCACTACTAAATTCAGTAGAACACGTCGAAAATCCCCAAACCCTCTCTGCAGTTCAATTTTTTTTTCCCTAATAATTAATAATTGAGAAGACTACGAAAACAGAGAACAAGTATTAAATAATTATGCTGAGAAATTCAAATTTGCCACACAATTATTCCCCCCAAAACGACGATACAGATAGATACACACCACAAAATTGAAGGGAAAAAAAGGTCAAAATTTTACCATCTTCAGCCAAGGGTTGTAAATCAATCCCCTCCTCATCCGACGACTCTCTGTTGATCTCAGCCACAAATTGAGCCGTGGCAGGGATAACAGGTTTCTGATCTGGATAAATCATAAACAGAGAATCAACAAATGGCAATTCATGTACTAAAAATAGAAAAAAATCATAAGAACACCAGTACACCACTACTAAATTCAGTAGAACAAGTCGAAAATCCCTAAACCATCTATGCAGTTCAAATTTTTTTTCCCTAATAATTAATAATTGAGAAGACAGCGAAAACAGAGAACACGCATTAAATAATCATGCTGAGAAATTCGAATTTGCCACACAATTATTCCCACAAAAACGACGATACAGATAGATACACACCACAAAATTGAAGGAAAAACAAGGTCAGAATTTTACCATCTTCAGCCAAGGGTTGTAAATCAATCCTCGCCTCATCCGACGACTCTCCGTTGATCTCAGCCACAAATTGAGCCGCGGCAGGGATAACAGGTTTATCGAATTTCTTCTTCCTGGTGGGGTATGAAAACACCCATGCAGGTACAGTGACGGCGATAAAGGTACTAGCAGAGTAGAGAATAAATGAAATTATTGACACGGCGTACTCTAACCAGACTAGGGTTGAAATCTGGCGGCAAACAGAGATAAAAGCCTCGAAATTCGCCGGGAATTTGACGGCCGGCGGCCAATTGACGGCGGCGAATGGCCGTTTCGCCGCCGCAATCATAGTTTGGACGGATTGATTAGAAACAATTTTCATTAGAAGTATGCAGCATAAAGCAGTACTAAAATTAAACTCGTTTTATATTTAATTTTTTTTTTATTATTATGAATAGATTATCTAATTTGGAAATTTATAATTTATAATTAAGGAAAACCACATACATATATTTGGTTTATAAACGAGATTTTTTTAAATTTTATTTATTATCATGTAAAGTCAAATATATGATATTTGTAGCTAACGTGTACTATAAGTATTTTTGAAATAAATAAATATTCAAAGTTTCTGAGTAAAGAATTAATAAAAATTATAATATGTTTATATGAGCACATTTGAGAATCATTAAATGGCTTCAAAAACTCAAAGAGATTTATTTTATACTAATTTTCCTAGACTTTGACAATTTCTTTTGCCCCAAATGATAATTGACCTCTTTTGTCTTTGGCGTAAGCCTAGGTAGACGATTAATTAAGAAAATAAATAATATTTTGATTTGTACATATATATATATGTATAAAAAATATTATAAGGTGTTCAATCTCTTTTCCCATTAAAATTTGGGCGAATTCGGTCATCTCGTAGGTAAAGTCAAATTACGAAAAAAAAAATCTACAACTACTCTCCTTAGTTATGTATTTGCTTAGGAATTTTTTTTACATTAGTAAATAAATTTGACACTGTAAAAAATGAAAATACATAATAATTGAGGGATGATCGTAATTATTAAAAGAAATTTCTTCCATAACTTTTCTTCCTCACCAATGATTTATTCGTTTAGGTCATTATATTTAATTTTGGTACTTCATAATTCATATTGACTTGGGGGCAGAAAGTCTTTGACCAGTGCTACAAAAATAAAAAATAAAATAATTAAAACATAGGAACGACTTAATTTTTTTTTTTAGTATTTAATATTTTTTTTTTAGTATTTACTGCAATTGGGTACAAGCTTTTGGCTAGCTTTGGCGTAAACAATAAGGCAAATTAATTAGGAAAATTAATATTTTAATAAGGAAGTTTTTTATCTCTCTAGTGTTTGGATTTATCTCTTGGACTCATTAGTCATTACACATAAGTATTAAGAGAGATTTGAAATTCTAACCTCTGAAGCAAGAAATAGATTAATACAACACTAAGTCAAAATCGTGAGGGTCATTTTTAAATGTAAATTCATAATTCATTGTCTTGAAAAAAAATTTAAAAAAAAATAAAAATGAGAAGTTGACATTAAAAATCAGATTTTATAAATAAAATTAAATCAAAAGCAGCAGGGTGGCATTAAATAAAAGTGACAAATATATGTAAATAATCGGGAATAATTTTATTGTCATTTTCCCTCATTAAGTTGGCGTGATAGTTTATGTTTCGTTATTCTATTGCTAATTTAAATCAGCAATTTGGTTTATAACAGGCTTTTGTGTACACTTTAAAAAAGTATTTAAAAAGTACCTTTCTCCTTCTTTATAAAACACTAGTAAAATAAATATATTTTATTTTGGCAATTTGCACCCCTAAAAGATAATTAATAGCAATTTGCGCTAAAAATAAATAAATCATGCACAATGCACCTCAATATCAATTCAGAATACACTATGAATGATTATTGTGTTTCAAGGGTGCTTATTTATTATTTTTTAGTATGCAAAGTGCTAAAATAAAATATTTAAAAGTGTAAAGTAAAATTAACCTAGTAACTTTGTAGAAATTTGATAGTTGACTGACCATTGACTTTCTCTATAATTTGGATGAGAATATGATTATGAACTCAAAAGCAACAACTGATTAATTATTAATACGCTGCATAAATAAGATAGCCGCTTTTGAATTGAAGCCTTCAAATAAAATCCACCTTCTAAAACAAAGCAAATAAATGTACAGCATCTCAAAAATATTGCCAACTCCTTTTAATTTCTAGATTAAAAATAATAATTAATAGAGTTCCATTAATTACGTTATAAATAGCAATCAGCAACAACCAATTAATTACAGCTAATTAATAATAGAATCATTTAAAGACTATGATTCATTAAAGATAATGTATTTGTATGCTACATTCCATGTTCATGTAGGGTAATAAATCTTAATGGAAGTAGTATTTTGAATTTTAGGTGTGTACTTATAAGTTATAAGTAGAAATTATTATATGACAGCTAATGCCATAAATGAAGCCATATTATTTGATTTGATTTCTATGTAATTAAATTTTATATTCTAGTTCGGTCAATTGTTGATTATTTGCCGGGGGACCAAAATGAACTTATTTTCCTCATTTAAGTCCTTGTTTCTATTCGGTACGCTTTCACCATATATGGCTTGCAATATTTTATTTTTTTTTATTTTTATATTTCAATATTGTTGAATCAGTTATGTTAAATTATAAGAAGAAGAAAATAGTGTTGTAATTGATTGTTAAAGGAAAAAAAAAAAATCAAATAATTTTTTATATATTTATCTCAAACACCCTCGTCTTTTCACCGCATTGCAATTTGTCTTACTAATGAAAATTACAGTACTACATACTCCATAATTACTTACTACATATATATTACATCACACAATTATTTTCCTAAACTTACATAACGTTACAAAATTGAAATTTTCTTCACCAAATCACTACATTACATACTATTCCATCAAGTAAACTATACAAACGAAATCGCAAACTTTTCCGCGACGTGAGTTCAAATTTCCGGTGGGGTGGGGGGGCGGCGAATCACCGCTACTGCAAACAAAGTTGGGGTCGAATCACAATTTCTCATTGTCGAAGGACTCGTTTTTCTTTCCACCGCCGCCATCTTTACTAACAACAATGCTAACCAACTGATAAGGCTGAGCTTCTTCAAGCATTTGCACAACAGTCCTCATAGTAGGCCTCAAAGTAGGAAGCCTAGCTGTGCAAAGAATAGCCACTTTCAATACTTTGATAGCATTTTCTCTATAAAACTCTGGAATTGCTAAATCCACTATGCTTATTACACTCTCTTTTGTCTTCAATTTCCCACACACCCAATCAACTATATCCTTATTTTCCCCAAACTCCGCCTCGATCGGCTTCTTCCCCGTCACAAGCTCCATTAGTACGACTCCGAAGCTGTAAAGATCGCTCTTTTCATTCACTTTACAAGTGTATCCATATTCTGCAAAAAGTCACTCAAAACGTCAATAAAAATTCAAACAAACTCGAACCGTCGGTACTGCACTGCAATCGATAATAATCAATTTTTTGTAATTAACTTTTTTACCTGGGGCAATGTACCCATGTGTTCCTGCAATGATTTGAGTTGACTCTGTAGTCGAATTGGCTTGAATGATTTTCGCTAATCCAAAATCGGCAATCGTGGGTTTCAGATGTTCGTCCAATAAAATGTTGCTTGATTTTACGTCACGGTGGATCACGGGTCTATCGCACCCGTGGTGTAGGTACTCCAACCCTTTGGCTGCGCCGAGTGCAATTTCGTACCGACTCTCCCAATCGAGCACCAATTTCTTGCAAACATGCAATCGATCCCATAAACTTCCATTCGGCATATACTCGTAAACCAACAAACTTGAGTCCTCACTGCTTATACTGCAGTACAACTTCACCACATTGATGTGCCTTATCGAACTCAACGTTTGCACCTCTGCTTCGAATTCGCAAGACTTTGACGACCCACGCCTGGACAAGATCGGAGTCGAGCCGTTGATCTTTTTCCTGCCACTCCCGCAGTCACTGGAGTGCCAAATGTGCTTTACCGCCAGTTCTTTCCCGTTGGAAACCACCGCTCGGTACACATTCCCCGAGCCACCTCTCCCTATTAGATTCTCCTGCTTTATGGAATCAAGAATCTCGTCCTCCGTGAAAGCGATCAAATGGAACGACTTCAAATCCCACGAATCCTCCTTCAACGAGCGTTCGCCACCTCGGCCTTCCTTCTTCTTCAAGTAATAGAATCCCGCTATCGAGGCTAGCATTGCTAGGGTTGCCACCGTGAGGCAGAACAGAACCATCCGGAGGTTCTTCGACATGCCGGAATCTGGCGAACATCGCCGGAATCCGGCGACCTTTTCGCTGCAAAGGTTGCCGTTGCCGGTGAAGCTACCGTTATTGGCCTCGGATAAAAGGGAGGTTGGTATAGCACCGGACAATCTATTGTAGGAGAGATCAAGAAGATTTAGTCTCAGTGAGGACAGAGTATCTGGAATTGGACCGGAGAGTTGATTTTTGGACAGGTTTAAGAAATTGAGAGTCGGTAGTTTCCCGAGGGAAGCCGGAATTTGGCCGGACAGTGTGTTGTCGGCCATGTCGATATCGTTGATCGAGCGGCAGGAGCCTAATGAATCCGGTATGGGACCGGAGAATTTGTTCCCCTGCAACTGAATCCGGCTGAGCTGCCGGAGCTCACCAATTGTGGCCGGAATTTCGCCGGAGAATTGGTTGTTGCTCAAGTCGATCGACACCAAGGAAGAAGCGTCTGAAATCTCCGGCGGCAGCTCACCGGAAAGCCTGTTGTTGGCGAGAAAAAGCTCTGCTAAAGAATTGGCTTTCCCAATATCGGAAGTAATGGGGCCTTCCAAGTCATTATCCGCAACATCAATGATCTCTGCGTTCGGGAGGCCCCATAACCCGCCCGGAACCGGACCCGTTAGCCCGTTTTTATTGACCCGGAACCGAATCAGTGTGGTGCAGCTGGCGTAAGTGTCAGGAATTTCACCTGTGAAATTGTTTTGCAGCATCAGGAGCTTCGTCATTTTTCCTCTCTTGCACATTTCCGGTGGAATTGCTCCGGTTAAAGAATTCTCCGATACGTCGACGAAATGGAAATCCGCCCAGGAGCCCAGCTTATGGGGAAGCTGACCTGTCAGCTTATTCATGTAAAGCGACAAGTTCACCAGATTTTTGAAATCCCCCATCTCAGCAGGAACTTCGCCGGAGAAGCTGTTCTCGAAAAGCTGCAAACTTTTCAGCTTATTCAAAAATCCGATTTCGGACAGATTTCCACTGAGACGGTTCGTCGAAGCATCGAAAAACTCGAGATTAGTTAAGTTTCGTAATCCAAAAGGCAATTCCCCCGTTAGATCATTCCAATAAAGCTCGAGCTGCCACAATTTGTTGAGCTTGGTGATTCCCGCCGGAATCTCGCCGGTGATGTAATTCTGCGACAACTCCAAATCAATCAGCTCAACCAGATTCCCAATTTCGTCGGGGATTTTTCCTTCAATGCTGCAATTGGACAAGTAGAGCCAATTCAGCTTCGTCAGATTCAGAATCACCGGCGGAAACGGCGTCCGATCGAAGGGATTGTCGCCGAGGCTCAGCACTTGCAGATTCGTCATGTTTCGAAGAGAATACCACGGAAAAGTTCCAGAAAATCCGCTGCAATTCGCGTACAGAGAAACCAGCCCACTCATCGCAGATATATCAGGGAACAATCCGGTGAAAAAGTTGTTCCCCAAATCTAGGTACTTTAGCGAAAAGCACTTCCCCAAATCTCGACCAACACCGCCGGAGAGATTGTTGAACCCTAGCGACAGCTTTTCCAACGAATTAAGCTGGCAAATAGAGCTCAAAGGAAGCGAACCAGTGAGATTCTGATTCGAGAGATCAATTTCTTTAACATATCCATTGGAATCGCAGGTGATTCCTGGAAAGTTGCAGGCTAGGGTTTCAGATTCCCAGGAATCGAATATTCTAGTGTTGGAATTCTGAAAAGCGGTTTTAATGGACAGAAGCGCTTGAACCTCATCATCGGAGGCGGCCGCGAAGGAGAGGAGGCAGAGGAGGGAGAAGAGGAGGAGGTGGAAATCCCACCGGAGAACGACGGCCGCCGCCATGTACGACGGTGGTTAGACTGGTGGAGGAATTTATTTTTAATTAGTTCTCTGCGTTGAAGACGTGCGTGTAAAGAAGACTAAAGAGAGTGCCACCTTTTTATCTCACTTTCCTCGTTCACACTTTGCTCTGTATCATTTTCTAGTGGACAATCATTGGTTTCAATTTTTCTGGATTTATTTAATATTGTTATGATAATTGGACACGTGGCACTTGTGATTCAACACGTAAAAAAAAATTGCGGGAATAATTTATTTCATAGAAATGGGGTAATTAAAGGAGATTTGTAATTAAAAAGATTTTGTGAAAATGTATAGAAGTAGAAAGTGCAGATAATGTAGCCATAATGTATCGTAGTCATGGGGTTTAGAGAGAGAAAGTGATGGTTGGTGGCTAACAGTGTCTGTTACTGCATTCAATAGCCGCCCACTTTGACTTTCTCTCTTACATCAAATTTCACGTGTCTCTCTCTCCTCATATTTTATTTTTTTTTTATTTTTTTATTTTCCAAATAAAACAAAATTGGAAAATAAATATATCGACATAAAAGGCTAATGGCTTCGTTGTATTAATGCGAATGTTAGTTGAGAAAATATATATATAATAATAATGTTTTGATTCGTTTTCTACTCATACTTCCTTGATTGGTGAATATCAATGAACCTTATTTGAAGTTGATTAGATTTTTATAATAATAACTTCTGAGCTTGGCCCGTGATCCAGTAAATAAATAAATAAATCGTAGGTTCATTGTCTGGCCGCCCTATAGGCATATCATGTTTTGAGTTATTTTCATTTTTTCTTTTGGGAAAATATGCATCGAATAATTAATTTGAGAATTAAATTAATTTGAGGTGAGACAAAATACATTGTAATAGTCAAATCATTTTGGCATCTATTGTGAAAAAAAAAAGATATTTTAGAAGCATAATTTGAAAAATAAAATAAGTGTGTTTCTTAATTTGATTTTTAGAAAGAAAAAAAAAGGCAATCAAATCATGTCTACAAGAGAGGTTTTACTCCCTCCTTCCCATATTATTTGTCGTTTTGAGCTGATGCACACGTATTAAGAAAACCAATAAATGTGCATGGATTATTGAAAAATCATAATAAAAGGACTAAAAAACCACTTTCATTAATTGTTTCACCTAATTTTATTAATAGTAGTAAGGGCAAATATAAGAAAAACACAATAAATGCTTCATTGAAAATTCAAAGTGACAATTATTTTGAAATAAAAAAAATTTCTAGAAAGACAAATAAAATGGGAAGGAGGGAGTAATAAATAAAATTCAATTTTCGGGAAAGAATAAAAATGAGATGAAAACCGAAGAAAACATTGGCAGTTGTGTCCGATACGGAAGCTAATACCAATTTCCACAAATTGCAAATTGTTTACATAAACCAAGAATTAAAAATGGTGATACATAAAGTTTGTGAATATGAATGCCAATAGGAGATGGAAGATGATTTTTGCACGGATATTATTACAAAGTATGGTTATAAATTATGATCAAACATATTGATGGGTTAACATGGGTACATGTGAAAATCAGTTGTGTTTCAGTGTCATGTAACTTCTAGTTTGGCTGGAATTGTGAAATACTATAAATTAATTTACTAATTAAAAATCTTATTAGAAAATTTGTTTAATTATTATTTTCAAATATTAAAAGTTTTGGCATTAACTGGAAAAAGGGCGCGTGCTTTCACGCTCGGTGGTGTCGATACGAATGTGAGCTGTAGTGAATATAGAGTGATAAGCTGTTTCCCGACAGACAATCTAACTTTTACTAATCACCAATCATTTCTTACCCAAACTCCAATAACCCAACGTGTGAAATCATTTATATCTGAATTAATTCTGCACCAATCATAACGCAGGAAGGACCACCCCACCCCCACCCCCAGCAGTAAAATAATTAATTAATGTTTCAGCAAATTATTGTCATCACGAACTTTGACCAAATTATGAAAAATACCTTTTATTTGGTTAATTGCAACCATTCCCTCATTTTAAATGTGTTCACATAAAATTTATGTAATTTAATTATCTACTAAACCAAATCGTATATTTAGTTTCGTAAATAGTATAAAATGTTGGCGTACCGAAATTTCGGTTCGCTTTTACTTAATTAACATCCATAAATTTACATGTGGAGGTGTCTTTTCATAAAATAATATATAATTGAGAGGCTGACTGTAATTACCCAAACATAAGAGGGTTTTTGTAATTTGACCGTACCTCAGGGGTCTGGCCGTAATTTGCCCTTAATTTTCTAATTGAGGTGGTGAAAAGCAATAATTACTTGGTCAATAAACGAAGAACAATTTGTTTGAATTTAACCCCACAAATCTTCATACACCTAAATTTGTTCAGCATTATATAAAATCTCAAAAGAGAAATTAGTGCTTCATATCTTTGAAATTCTTCTTGGTTCATTAATTATTGCAGTCTACTTAGTCACTTCCATTGGTAGCTGTATTCAAAACTCATCATCAGTAAAAAGAAAATTAGTTGGAAGGGCAACTTAGTCTTATTACATTTTTTTTTTCCTGAAAATCAATACACATATTTAAAAAAAAAATCACATAAAGAGGTTTAAAAAACAACTGGTGTTTATTATATATGTATGTATTTTCCAATAGCATTTAAAAAATAATTGAAGGTGTATATTTTCCAATTATTATATTTTTAAAGCTCAAGGCTGCTTAAAAAAACTAAAAAAGACTTTTTGAATTCCACAGTCAATGCATAAGTACAAGAAGTCAATGTTAATCTTAGTCCAATAATTTATCTAGATGACTAAAAAATAAACTAATTTAATATGTTCACTAATTACTGTTATAGCTTATATGCAGTTTAGTGGAGCACTGAAACTGAAAAATGAGGAAGAAAAGTAAAATCCAATGTCTTCTAAAGTGTAACATTAGTATCTATCATTTACTTTATATTGTTATCCATATAATACCATTATTTATTGCACCTAGCTACTTAGAGGAATTGACCATATTAAAAAAAATAAAAATAAAAAATAGTGGAGGAAATAAGTGCTAAAGAATAATTGCATAGCCAAAGATATAAATTATAATCAAAATACCATTTATAATAAATCTCCTTTTTTTTTTTTTTTTGTGGAGTGCTATTTATAATAATTTAAGATACTTTAGGAGTAATGGTTGTAATATTGAATAAATAATAATTAATGCATCATACGGGGGCTAATTAGTAATTTGGCAACGTCGGGCCGACGAGCTGAAAACGAGTCCGTTGGGCCAAAATCAATTAGTATAAAAGGAAAGAAAAAAAAAGGAATTTGGGCTACTAATAACCCCACAATCTCTTTTATACTCTTTCTTCATTTATTTTCCAACTTGATTTCCAAAGGCTGAAAAAAAATATATAGGCCAAGGCCCAGTATGCATTTTAACCCAATATCTCCACACGATTTATTTTAATCGGGCTCGCGTCAAATAAAATCGGGCCGAACTATCGGGCTTCGGATAGGCCCGGCTCAATTGCCGGTCCTACACATCTCCAATATATTTGATAATTAGAACATACTTTACAATCTTATAGATGTTAAACTGGTAAAATGTACCAAAAGATTCACGCCTTTGATTTACACATGATCATATTAGCCATTCCATTCATTTTTATTCCACCCAATAATTACATTTTGAGCATTATATATACTTATTTTATCATGTATTTTACGAATAGCTTCGGAAAAAAAATTGGGGGTGCTGCCCCCCAACCCTCGTAAAGTTTAGCCCACCCTGATATAAAAATCATAGCTCCGCTACCAATTAGAGGTTCCTTCACAACTGTTGGAGGAGTGGAGATTCAATGCTATTGACTTGAAACCGAGCTGCTAAGAAAAGGAAGTCGGGCAGTTCGGGGCATCGTTTTTAGCTAACCCGTCGTTCGCCGTCTACCCATTCTCTAGGCCATAGCCTTTCTATAGGATATCCGTACATTTTACCACTTTCCAGCCATCATATCTCCTGTCATTCGAGCATTTAATGTTCGTTTTAGTACATGTAATGTGCCTATCCAGACACTAAATGCACCTACTTGAGTCATCACGACACCCCTCCGAACGATGTATGCTCAACTCGACTCTCGTTGATATGCTTTCCTTCCTCAAACTTTGTGACGAGGAAGGTCTTCCTAAATGGACTATCTTCTTTGGGCCGAGCCTATTCAACTGAATCTCTCATTAAATGGGCTTTGTTATACAGCCTTCTACCATCCAAATCAGTATATAAATGTAGATGAGTGCAATATATACATATACTATGTAATAAATGTATACACGTTTATAATATAATATAATGCAATAAAATTGGCAAAGTGTAAATAGTAAAACCGTAATTTATTAATTGGTCAAAGCTTAATAGAAAGCAACACTTAAGAACAAAATTAGCACTAGTGAGTAAAAGACGAAAGAGAAGTGCGCGTGGCGTACTCACCTTAGGGAAAATAAAGAAGCTAATATAAATAAATCAGGAAAATAATTAATTAAGAAATACACCATTAGCTGACACGTGGCACCTCTGACGATCCTTCTCCACTCCCCACTTCCTCGCCTGAAGCTGAAACCGAGCCACCGCCGCAAAGAACTTCACACCCTGAACCGGATTCAGAATCCCCACCACCGCCGCCGCAGTCCACCCCCTCAGCTCATCGGCGTTCCCAACCACCACCAGCATCGCCGCCTTCAGCTCCACCATCGCCGCCTCCAGCTCCGTTGTCTCCCCGTCCACAAGCCTCCCGAACTTCTTCACCAGACCACACAGCGGCGGCTCCGCCACGGTCTCCTGAACCCTAGCCATCTTCTGATTGATCTCCCTCTCCTTCCGCCGTATCTCCGCCTTCACCCCCTCGATCTCCCGCTTCTGCTCGTCGGAGAGATCCTCCGCCACGGCGGTCTCGATCATCGGGAACAGCATCGACGGCCGGAACCCTGAAATCCACACCAACGTCCGCTCGAAAGAGCTGAGCCAAGGCGCGGACATCAGGAGGAAGACATCTTCGCCGGCGAGCGCGGCCTTCTCCATGTACATCTCCTGGTAGTGAGAGAAAACCCGCGGAATTATCGCGGCGCATTCCCGGTTCCTGTCGAAACCGTCGGCCGGCGACAACAGCGCTTCCAGCTGCCGGAGAAAAGCCTCTTGTCTGGTAAGCCAACTGTCAAAGAAGGAGGTGAAATTTGACTCAGAATCCATTTCCGTAAAATTCTTGGAGGGAAATAATCAAATAATAAATATGACCGTACGTATATAATCAACAAATTTCAATGTATAAATAGGTGGCAATAAATATATAAAATAATAATATTCTGCAAAATAAAAATAAAAATAAAAATAAATAAATAAACCAAAACTTAGGGAGTAAGGATGTGGCGGATTTTTTAATTTTTTTATTGAATTTATTGGTATGTAATAGTTGGGTATTAATTAAAGAAATAAAATGTTGGGGAAGCGGTGGAACTTTAGTTCATTGAACTGAAGAAAAGAAACAACATGTGTACTATGTTTGTCAGTTTTCTCCGGAAGGTGTGCCGTGCAACGAGGTGCATTCTTTTTGTCTCTTTCTATATTTTTTTATTTTTAATTCACTTTCATTGCATCATTTTACAAATTTTAGCTTTTTAGTCACAAAATAAATAAACATTAAATTACCAAATTACAAAAAATCCTCATGGCTAGTGTCGAGTTACTACTAAGTACTAACAGTCGGTGTTGGACCGAGCGATCGATAATTTTGTGGCGAACTTCGACCACATATAGGTTCATTCTAGCAAAATCTTCGGGAGTGTATTATTGATGTTCAATCAGTTTGAGTGTCGTGTCCCCTCTAATAGTGTTGATACATTCATTCCATAGAGAACTATGTATGACTATAGAATCTCTATCCCTGTCGAGATTTACATTGATTGCTCAATCACTATTTCTAATTTACATATTTTCCTTATTTATTTAGAGAGAATATATTTGAATCCGTTTTTTTCAACGACTCTCCTTCAACTCGCTGTCTACTCCTTCCAATGTCTCTTGCATGTTCGGATGAGCTGGCGAGCTCGCAACCCTCATATCCCGAGAGCATCTTTTAGCAAGCGTGGTACTAACGAGCTTTATTAATGCGAACTTCTAAAGAGATCTTATCTTTGACGTATACTGGGTCGATTGACTAAAAAAATCTCTTTCGGCTCATATATTTTATCTTTATATTGTTTATAAGCCCAATACGACGAGTTTGACCAAAATTTGCCAAACCGACCTGCGTCGACCATGGTAATTGTTTAACAAGTACTATATTTATTCTTACACGCTAAGGTTTTTATTTTCCTAAAGGATAGATAATTCAAACATGACGAAGGGCGGTGCTTTTATTCAATTCACATTTAAATGCCAACAACATCATCCAAAGTTGAGGCAAAAATTATCAGAATTATAATTACGAAATTTAATTAATTATCAGGATTATAATTATGAAATTTAATTAATTATCAATTAGAACTTAGAAATTAGAGTTTGCTCTATAATAATCCAATCCAAAGGGGAAATATGCAAAAACCCCCTCAAACCATAAATATTATGAGTTAAACCCATTTGACTTTTAAAACTTTTGCCCACATCCAAAGTCCAATCTTAATTAGTGAAACCCCCTCAACAATTGTGATAAGACGAAACTACCCTTATCAATAGTTTTTAAAATAATTGCAATATTTATTTTCCATAACCGTCTCACGTGATTGTAGGATTACATTAATTCTCTCCATATATCTCTCATTCATTCTCTCTCTTTCTCACGCAACTTCTCTCTCTATCTTTTTTTTTTTTTTTTCTTCAGACCCATAATCCTCCACCACTCGCCAATGGAGACCACTCAGACGCACTCGGCGCCAACGCCGGGTTTCGATTCTCCTTCCGAAGACCGGATGAAAAAAGAGGAGAAAAATCAAGTTTTTGAGATGCAGCAGTTTTCGTACAGAGGTCAGATCGGAAGATCTAACCGTCGGATCGGTTTGATATTTTTATGCAGGACTCGTAACACATCAATAGAACTTATGACTGGTGGAGATTGGAATCAGACTTCTCTAAATATAGATCGAATCTTAAAACTCGCTGCTGGTTTTTGTTACTTAATAATTCATGGCAGCTAGATTGGACGCGTTTTTCGTGCAATTAAACCGTTGGATGTGGCCAAAATTTGGATAAAGTATTCGGAGTATATATTTTTATATATTGTACGGAGGAGATTGAATTTGGTGCCCCCTAGCTCCGGATATAAATTGTGAAAGTATCACAATTTGGTGAGATTTTTTTTTCATTTTTTAGTCTTCACTTTTAGAGATTTTCCATTTAAAATTTGTTGGGGTCATTTGTGTTTGATTTTGATATTCCAATTGTTGTTAATCA